GATCGCTTTCAACGGTGCCTCCATGATATATGATCACTAGGTTGTCCATCTAATTCAAACACGTAATGAAACATATGCCCTTTAGTCCAAATAATTAGATAGATAGTACCTAACAAGTACTTTCTAACTACAAACTAAGTAATCAAGATAATAACTACGTATATATTACAGTGTACTCACTTAATAGCTAGATCATATGTAGATAACTAAAAATGTAACTACATATCTAAGTAGCTATCTAACTATATCTATATGCCTATGTGTCTATGTTTTTATCTATCTACGTATATATCTCACTAAATCACTAACTAAATCAACTACCTGAGTCATCACATTAACTAATAAATAACAAATGTCAACTAAGTAGGTACATTGCATATTCATAATTTTTACCTTTCCGGCGGACGATGGGCGTGTGAAAGGTCCTAATATGGCTAGAGGGGGGGGTGAATAGCCTATTTAAAAACTACAAATCAACTAGAGCAATTTGATTAGTAAGACAAATAGCGAAATGCAAACTTGCTCTAGCTCTACAAGGGTTGCAAGCCACCTATCCAACAATTCTAGTTGCAATGATCTATTTGCACACAATCTACTTGACCACTACTCACTAAGAGCTCTCACAAAAGCTACACTAAAGAGCTCCACTAGATATGTTTAAAGCACAAGGCAAGCTCTCAATTCTAATTACACTAAAGAGCTTGCTATATCTAGTTTGCGGAAATATAAATGAGTAAGTGAGACGATTATACCGCCGGGTCGTGGAGTGAACCAATTACACGATGAATATATAGCCAATCACCGGGAGAATGCGAATGACAAGAGACAACCGATTTTTTTCTCCGAGGTTCACGTGCTTGCCAACACGCTAGTCCCGTTGTGTCGACCAACACTTGGTGGTTCGGTGGCTAAGAGGTGTTTCACAAACCTCGCCCACACGATAGGACACCGCAAGAACCGACCCACAAGTGAGGTAACTCAATGACACGAGCAATTTACTAGAGTTACCTTTTGGCACTCACGGGAAGGTACAACTCCCTCACAATCACCGAAAGGCGCCACGAACAATCACCAACTCGTGCCGATCCTTCACCGCTGCTCCAACCGTCTAGGTGGTGGCAACCACCAAGAGAAACAAGCGAAATCCGCAGCGCAACACGAATACCAAGTGCCACTAGATGCAATCACTCAAGCAATGCACTTGGATTCTCTCCCAATCTCACAATGATGATGGATCAATGATGGAGATGAGTGGGAGGGCTTTGGCTAAGCTCACAAGGTTGCTATGTCAATGAAAATGTGCAAGAGAGCTCCCTTGAGCCGGCCATGGGGCTATAAATAGAGCCCCCATCAAATAGAGCCGTTGTACCCCTTCTTTGGGCAAAACACGCCTCGGACCGGACGCTCGGTCATACCGATCGGACGCGGCCCTCGGCGTCCGGTCGCGCCGATGGACGCCACGCGTCACCGACTTCAAACGCTGTTTCGCCGATTTCCGATTTCAAGCTACTGAAGCTGACCGGACGCTCCGGCAAAACTGACCGGACGCTGAAGCCCCAGCGTCCGGTCGTTTCCAGTAAGCTCCCCAAGGCATGTTTTTTCGACCGGACGCGTCCGGTCCACCTTGACCGGACACAGACCAGCGTCCGGTGCTCAACCTTACCCACTGTGCCGTCTGACAGCTCGACCGGACGCAGCCTTTCAGCGTCCGGTCGCTGAGTGACCCAGCGTCCGGTCAGTAGACCGACGCCAGCATCATTTCGACCAACTCCATTTCAACTCTAACTTCTTCATCCTTGCTCAAATGTGCCAACCACCAAGAATTTTGCATCCGGCGCAATAGAAAATAGACATTTCATTTTTCCAAAAGCGCCGAATCCCGCCGAGAGGGACTCAAACCCATCTCAACCCTGCAAACACCTTGTGCACATGTGTTAGCATATTTTCATAAATATTTTCAAGGGTGTTAGCACTCCACTAGATCCTAAATGCATATGCAATGAGTTAGAGCATCTAGTGGCACTTTGATAACCGCATTTCGATACGAGTTACACTCCTCTTAATAGTACGGCTATCTATCCTAAATGTGATCACACTCACTAAGTGTCTTGATCACTAAAACAAAATGGCTCCTACATTTTATACCTTTGCCTTGAGCCTTTTGTTTTTCTCTTTCTTCTTTTCCAAGTTCAAGCATTTGATCATCACCATGCTATCACCATTATCATGATCTTCGTCATTGCTTCATCACTTGGAGTAGTGCTACCTATCTCATAATCATCTTGATAAACTAGGTTAGCACTTAGGGTTTCATCAATTAACCAAAACCAATCTAGAGCTTTCAGCGTGGGTCAGGCCGAAGATCCGGGCCGGCGGTGGCACGGCCGACGACAGCGGTGGCGCGTGCCGGGCGCGGGATGCCCGGGGCTACGCGCGGCGAGTCCGGCTCGACGGGCGCGGGAGGCACGCCGGCGGTGGACGGCGGCAATGCGAGACGAGGCCGACGGTGGAGGGCGGCAAGGCGGGCCGCGGTCGAGGCCGACGGTGGAGGGCAAGGCGAGGACGACGGTGGAGGGCGGCAAGGCGCGGGCTCGGCGCGAGCTTGGCGCGGGGCGGTGGCTCAGGCGCGGCGCGGCCTCGGGCGCGGCGATGGGGCGGCGTGGGCGCGGCGGGGGCGCGGGCGCGGGCAAGGAGGTGGCGCGGGCAAGGGCGTCGGCGTCGGCGGCAGTGCTCGGCTGGTTAGGACGAGAGAGGGAGAAGAAGAGAGGAAAGGGGGGGCGTTAGATATTTCCGGGCTCGGCGGCAGAGTGACTGGCGCCGAGCTAAGAGTCCATTTCCTGAATTCTTTCCGCCATAAGTCTATTTGTGAGAAACTTTTGAAAAAATGACCAAATTGTAAAAACTTTGGGCCCGCGCTCATGCCGGAGCGCGACCAGGCGCGCTTTTGTGTTTGCGAATGCGAAGGCATAGCAACGATGGTTTGCCGGTGCATATAGGCACATAGCACCTTTGGTCTCTCTGAGTACATGACATCTTGAAATTTAGGCCCCATAAAATAGAGGAAAATTTTCTTTCCTTCCTTAATTGAAAGGCAAAGCTCCTACGTTTCGTTTTAAAAAGAGAGAGGAAATTTTCCTTCTGCTCTCCATGCGAGCATCAATGCAAGACGCAGTCTTAGCCTCCTATAAAAAACTAGCCGGTTATATTCCTCCAGGCAATCTCATTCTACTCCGTTGCGCATGCGGCCTGAATGCTTCAACGCTTATACAGTAGCTAAACAATGGGAGGCAACTATTCTTTAGTACTCCGTCCTTTTTCAAATATAAGTCGCTTTGATTTTTTTTTTCATCGAATTTGCTATTTGTTTGAACTTGTGTTCAGATAAATAGCAAATTCGATGTACCAAAAAAGTCAACACGACTTATAATTTGGAATAGAGGAAGTATTATCATATCACCTTATCCCTTTCATCTCATTGCTTTTCCAATTACACAATTATTTGACAGAACAATGATAAAATAGTACTCCATTCGTTCTAAATTATAAGATGTTTTGGCTTTTCTAGATACAATTGCTTTTATTATGCAAACTATTACTATTAAAATAAAAAAAACTATGCGATTTTTATTTTAAAATGAAATCACAATTATTATTCCACCGGCGCATGTATGCTTATTATATTATGCTAGTTATTACAATTAACTAATATAAGGTTTATCAAGACAATCTGTTTTTTCATTTATTATAAAAAGTATAAAGACAAACTGTTTTAAAACAACTGGGCTTCTGGGCCTAGACACGCGGTCTGAGTGTTGGGATCAAAACAAGGCAAAATCCGGCCCGCTCCAGGCCCAGCCAAATTTCTAGGGTCCGTTCACCCCTGGCTTTTCTTCATTCGTTCACCCCGCCTGCTCTCCCCCTCTCCCTCTTTCTCTCGCTCTCGGCGACAACAGGGCGACCCGCCGCCGCCGCCCTTCTCAAGGTGCCCAGGTCTTCCCCGGCCCCTTCGCCAGGTCTTAGCCGGCGACGAGCGCCAGTCAGGTATGCGCACCCCTTCTCTCCCCTTCCTGCTGCGCGAAACCGAGCGCCCAAACCCTAGCTTTGAGCTATCTGGGTATTTGTATTCGGATCTGATCCAGTTACAAGAGCATGCATGTATTATGCCTGCTATCTTCCATTATTCTGCAAAAATTATTGGGTTTACACGTGCATGCCCATGTCCTTTGCTTGGTCCACTCCTGTCCGAACCCTAACCTAAGCTATTTGGATGTTTGTTTTTGGATCTGATTTAGTTACGAGTGTATACGTGTATTGTGCCTAATATCTTCGGATTTTTTTGGCCAAAATTATTGGGTGAAGTTGTGTACACCATGGGCCCTCCCACCTATCTCTCAGTATGCATTGGTTTCTGCAATTCTGCCCACTTGTTTTGGTACTGTGTATATTGGAAGTTTCGCTCAGTTTCCTTCGCTCCCATTTGAAATAATCTGTAACCCAATGCAGAATATGTGAAAAATTTGAGTTGTAAGTGGTTCATATTCTCAAAACAGATTGCAAGTGTCAATGTTTGTTTGTTTAGACAGGTATACTGTGTACTAGAGTTGACCATCTGCGGGTCGAATGACCTGTCCTGTTGGACACCTTATTAGTGTTAGGCAGGCAGCATATCTTGTATCCTATGAAGGTGGCACAAATGTGCTGATCTTTTCGTAAAGTTGAAAGTGATGTGTTTATTTCTCAATTTTCTTCTGAGTTAAGAGTCGTGTAGTAAACTCATTTGGGTCGTTGTCGTGTGATTTTTGTAATAAGATGGTATGAGTCCTGATCTTAAAGGACGAAGTTGGTTGATTGACTGCAAGCATCTGCTGTTAATGCTGTTCGGCTTGCTGAATGTTAATGCTGTCTGGCTTGCTGAATGTTGGATACTGTATTGTATTGTATTCCTGAACTAATGTTTTTTTAATAATGTTGTACTGATGGAATACAATTTTGGCCTGTAGAATGAAGCCAGTATTTTGTGGGAACCTTGACTATGATGTTCGCATCTCCGAGGTCGAGCGCCTTTTCGGGAAGTATGGAAGGGTGGAACGAGTGGATCTGAAGACAGGTTAGTCTGTTAAATCTGTTCTCCAATTTATGATCTATGTTAGCAAAACAACAATTGCTGCTGCAACTATATGTTGTTTTTGGTCGAAGGCAGTGCTTTATTTTAGCAAGTGAATTACATCCAGTGTCAGGAGCTGCAGCTTTGAACCATTTTGTTTCTTCAATTTAGATACTGAATGTATTCATAAGGCAATGCCATCCAAAAACATAACAATGCCTTTGTTTAAATTTTGATTTTTACCATTTGATTTGCAATATTGGTTTAATCATCACAAATACATGATCTTCACATAACTCCTCTAAGAATGTGATCTTCACGTGGAAACTGCTATCACCATGACGTGGCAGAAATTTTCGATCTTCCTTCAGCCATGCCTGGTGTACGAAGCTGCAAACAGACCAAGTTGTTACTTCATCCGACGCGAAAACCAGAGGAGTTTCAGCAAAATCAGATTATGTTTATGTTTTGTTGTTATAAGTCATTGGGCAAGTGTGCATCAGGATAAATTTAGAAAAAAAGAAGTTTCTTTCTTAAAATTTAGGTCCGGTACTCAATTGTTTCTTTGCCGCAGGAATATCATGGAGCACATGTGCTCTTCCTGGTTGATGGACTGGCTCTACCTTTACTGCCTCTGCCTGAGCCCCCACCTCATGCCTTGTCCATCTCCAGGAGTTCACAGTCGCATCTGTTCACATGGAAACGACCACCTCGTGACCGATGTCTTACTTTTACGATCAACATTGCATCCTCCTCCCCCGCCTGATCACCATTTCCTCGCCAATCCAACCATGCCAATCTCATGGCCGGCTGGAGAGTGGAGAGAAGTGGAGGTTGCACCACCAATTCTTTGATGTACCACGAATGTTTGGATTGTTGTACTCTACTACTCTGACATCATTTAGTTCAACATATACAAGGTCTGTTCCTGTTTATTCTAGTGTATCAGACTGTAGATTTGCGAGGTGATCTTAGAAAAGTTTCCAGCAGAGACTGCATCATGATTCATCTTGTTGCCTTTTCTGTTTATGTCTTGGACCATACTGTTTCTTTGAACAACCAGTCACTTCTCCTTTTACCTTGTGTTCAACATGAAGGGTTTGCATTTGTCTACATGGAAGATGAACGCGATGCTGAAGATGCTATCCATAGACTTGATGGAATTGATTTTGGCAGAAAAGGAAGGAGAATCAAAGTTGAGTGGACAAAGGTGAGCAGATGTGGAAAAGAGTATTGACCCATTGGCACTTGATAACTTAGTCTTGTTTTACTAAATTATAATGTCCATTATTTTTCAGGAGGATCGCACTGCTGGTCGAAGAGGTAGCTCAAGGAGATCTCCAACCAATGCAAGACCGACCAAAACCTTGTTTGTGATCAACTTTGACCCGATCAACACAAGAATCCGAGATCTGGAGAGGCACTTTGATAAATATGGCAGGGTCGCAAATGTAAGAATCAAAAAGAACTTTGCCTTTGTCCAGTTTGAGGTACAGGAGGATGCTACTAGAGCATTGGAGGGTACTAATGGAAGGTACTAGCTCATGCTTGCCTTTTACTTATTCAGAATATTTTAGCCATGGTATTTTATTCATAGTTTGCTGCACCATCTTTAGTTGAATTTGTGTGTCTGCATGTTACACCTTGATTGAATCTGGCATTCTTGTGGCAGCCATTTCATGGACAGGGTCATCTCAGTTGAGTATGCACGCCAGCGATGACGATGAAAAAGGTGAAAGAGGGAACGGATACAGCCCAGACAGGAGAGGTCGTGAAAGATCCCCAGGTAGAAGGCGTTCTCCTAGTCCTTACGGCAGAGGAAGGGAGAGAGGTAGCCCAGACTACGGAAGAAGCAAGGAGAAGGGGAGCCCAGACTATGGCAGGGGAGGACGCAGCCCTGATAATGGCAGGGGAGGACACAGCCCCGATAATGGCCGTGGAGTAAGCCCAATCAATGGTGGCAGAGGCGATCATGGCAGGGGAGGACGCAGCCCCGACTATGATCGTGAGCGCCGGGAAGCTAGCCCTCGTCGCGAGCGCCGGGAAGCCAGCCCCGGATATAACAGGTCCCCCAGGTTAGCAATACCCTTCGGTGTCATCTCATATATTTGCATGTTGTGATAATGCATCACAGTGAGTAATGACTTGTTTGCATTGTGTAGCCGCTCACCTGGGAGGGACGAGAGACACTAGAAGCATTCCGTGCCTGTGTTCAAGCATCAAGCCTCCCGCATCAGATGAATGTGCAAGTGTTGTTATGTTACAGTTGGTAATGTTAGCCAGCAGGAAACCCCGTGTACTATGTGCGTTAGCTCGTGTTGACTTTCCAAGTTAGTTTATCATTTCCCATTTCAGTATGAAGCGACTCCAGAATGTAACTCATGTTGGATTGAATGGTACTTGTTTGAACCTTTGTTGCTGTTGTAGTATTGAATGGTAGCCTTCAGTACTCGTTTGAATATTTGTTGGCGTTATTTTCCAGCTACCTTATTGTGCCGTTATGCTGATGAATCTCTAGATTGCTTCATCTGTCAAGTGTTGCGCACAATACAATGGGCGAAGTTATGTTCCTTTGTTGATGTACAGTACGTATCAACTTGTCGATGTGGAGCTTCAGTTGAGACTAGTTCCAAGTTGACGCGACAAGACTATTGACGCATAAAGTGCAATCAATAGCTTCAGACTTTTATTACAAATTACACTGTCATTTTTTATGTTTGAAAATGTCATGTGAGATTGCGAAAAGTAGTTTTACAAAAGTGCATTTTTATCATGTCTGTAAACATAATATATATACATCAAAAGCATGTTTTGGAGACGTTGATTGGTGTCCAAAGCGCATCTCCCATATGTGACTGCAGGGGCAGTATTTCGTTCCTCTTTACCTTCACTGTCCATTTCGATTTGGAGGTATAAACAGATGAAACAAGGAATGAGCTGGGCAAACTTGCTGGCCTTTGGCTTTCATAAGGCCTGCTTATATGCACATAGCTAATTGTTAGCTAGCTTTTTTTTTTGACCGATTCAGCAGGGGAATCCCCTACCTATTTTTTTTTTTCATTTTCAATTAATTGAAAGAATGGTATTTACAAGACTAGTACAAAAAGGAAAATGGAAAAGTTACAGGGCAATTAGCTAGCTAATTTTAGCTCTAACCCAGCCAAACAAGTGATTAATTGATGTGCTAGTTTTTTTAGCAAGACTTCAACTAGCTGTTAGCTAACTAGCTAGCTAACTCCAGCTAATTTAGGCTAATTTATTAGCTAAACTAATAAATTTATGCTAATTTTTAGCTCTACTAATAAATTTGACTTTACAGTTTCAACTTCCAAGCTGACGCAACAAGACTATTGATGCATAAAGTGCAGTCAACAACTTCCAGCTTATAGCCCCTTTTTATGTTTGAAAGTGGTATGAGTACATTTGCCTTGAAAAGTAGTTTTACAAAGTTCATTTTTACTTTGTCTTGTAAACATAGCACAGCAAAAACATGTTTCAGAGACATTGATACCCAAAACACATCACCTATGTGTGACTGCAGGGCCAATATGTCAGCCAGTTTTTCGCTTCTCTTTACCTTTACTGTGGATTTGGAAGTATAAAAGAACACTGGAAACAGATGAAACAAGGTATGAGTTGAACTTGTTGACCTTTGCCATTGCTTTTATAAGACCTGATTGATGCATAGAGCTAATTTAGCTCTGATCCATCCAAACAAGGGAATAATAGATGAGCTAATTTTTTTTAGCAAGTCTTCAACTAGTTGTTAGCCAACTAGGTAGCTAACCTCAACTAATTTAGACTAATTTATAGCTTCAACTATTAACTAGCGCTAGCTAATTCAAACTGGCCCAAAACACTGATGATGCTGGTTCATCCAAAAGCCATCCTAATGTTGTACAACAGGAACCTGACATTACAATTCCTTTCCCGAGTGGCCAGTTCGAATGTCCAATTTTGGCAGTCAGATCAGAGCTGGAGCTGCAATGGCAGACTCCGATCTGCCCCGCCGCTCTTGGTGTTGTGGTCACATTCATCACACGAAATGGTGCGTGGGGTACTCGTGCTCCGATCCATTGTAGTCGTAGTAGAGCCTCTCCCCCTTGGAGATGTCCCTGTTGGCCACCAGCAGCACCCGGCACTCGCCGCCGACGTCGAACCGCACGCACTTGACGTTCTGCTTCTTCCTCCCCTCGGGCGTGTGGTTGTTGATGCCGTTGATGAACCGCGCGATGTTGCTGCGGCGGTCGGGGCAGATGACGAGGCTCCGCGCCGGGGACGCCGCCGACAGCAGCGTCATCATGCTGTCGCCGTCGTCGTGCTCCCGGTTGCGGAGGAAGTCGACGTCGCCGACGTACTCGGTGATGATGGTGAGGTCGCGGATGGGGCGGTCCGCCTCCACCGTGAACCCTTCCACGGGGTCGTACGCCACCAACAGCGGCGGCCACTCCCCGCGTGCCATCATCCGCTGGCACCGCGCCAGCGTCTCCGCGTCCTCCCGGTTCAGCACCTGCATCCCGCCGGCCTCCAGCGCCGCGCGGTTCGCGGACCGCGGCGCCATGCCGGGCTGGTAGGTGAGCTCGTTGCTGAACGCGGCGCCCGTCGCCGTCAGCGCCGTCGCCAGCGACGCCATCTGCCGCAGCCGCTGCGCCGGGTCGGAGCTGGGGATGAAAGACAGCAGCCTCCGACTCTTCTTCTTGGACGCCACCAGCGTGCCCCCGGACTTCCGCTTCCGCTTCTTCAGCTCCGCCGACGCATCGGCCGGCGTCGGGCTGCGTTGGATCTTGAAGAAATCCACGATCTTCGTCTGGACCAGCGGGAACTCTGCGGGACATAAACAAATCGCCGATGATTGAGCGGAGAAGCGCAAATGGCTACTTGCAACTGAAATCGCAAAGAAAATGCGGGAACTCACGTTTAGGCTTCTTGCCGACGACGGTGTGAGCAGCGGCGGCGGCGGATTCGGATTTGGAGGAGGCCGGGGAGCAGCAGGACGGGCAGAACCAGTCGCCGGCGGGGACACGGGGGAGGATGGGGCGGAGGCAGAAGATGTGGAACCCGCGGTCGCAGCCGTCGCACAGCATCAGCTCCGGGGCCGCCTCCCCGGACCCGCACGCCTCGCACTTCACGTCGTCTTCGTCGCCGGCGGCGGCGGCGGCCTCGGGTCTGGGCCCTGGCGGCGACCGCGCGCGGGTCCGGCGACGGAGCTGGCCCGCGGCGCCCATCTGTCTACGCACGCGAGATCCGAGATGGCGGGCGGCGGGGGGAACGAGGAGGCTGGTGGAGTGGAGAGGTGTGCGCGTCGGCCGTCGGCGGGGCAGGTGGGGTGGGTAAATAGGAATAGTGGCGGGAGTGGGCGAGGATTTTGGCGCGCACGGGGTTTCGGCTTCGCGGGAACGGAGGTCAGCGCGCGCCAAGTAATAAGTTTTGGTAGCCCGGCCCGAACCCGAACCCCGACCCGGACCCAGCCTGCGTCACGAGGGTGGGTCGTGGGAGGGGTGGATGGGCCTTTGTTTTTGCGCCTCCAGTGCTGGGCCATTCATTCCGGCGCCAAATGGGCCGGGACAAGAGATTTCGTGGACATTTTGGTAGTCGCACGTGACACGTTCTTTCCTTCCCAGTAGATGGAAACTAGCCTTCTCTATAAAAAAAGATGGAAACTAGCCGTTAGACAGTTTATTTCAAGCCATGGCTCTCCTGCCTTACTAGTTCAAAATTCGAATCCGGCAATCCACCAAATCGCAACAAATAAACTCGTCATCAACGACGCCTCCTTCCTTACCAATCAACCAAATCATTCCCAATTGAGATTCGAAGCCTAAGGCTGATTAGGAATGGAGGCGAAATGGGGTGGCCTGGCCGTAGCTACCGGCGCCGCGGTCCGGTGGCCGCTACAACCGCGGGACACCAGCGACGTGGTGGCATCCACGGTAGTGGTCGGGAAGGCTGCCATACAGCTGCCTCCGACCGTGGTGTTTGTTGCGGGGGTGGCAGAAGCGTTGCTGGCGGAGGAGCTCGAGAAGACTCGGAAGCGGTGTGTGTTGGAAAACAGGTTGGCTACGCGCTAGCACATCTACCACGTTCACCTAAGATAACATGCGGGTAGAAGGATCATAGATCATTACCACTAGACGCGCAGTGCAGCGGAAAAGGAGCACATCGATGTAGTGGAAGTAGCCGTACACATTCGCCGTGCACCTCACGTTCGTTGCCGATTAACACCGCAGCAGCAGCGTCTCCACGGTGTCCACACGTGCGAGGATGGAACGCCGCGACACCGATGTGCTAGCACCGCGTGTGCAACGAGTGGAAGAACGGCGGCGGCGGCTTGAGCGCCCGCAGCCCTAGGGAGAGAGAGAGGCGGCAGCGACGGCTTGGTTGTATGGTGTGGAGTGTCACCCAACTCTAGCCTCTTGCCCCTTCTATATATAGACCACCGCAAAATGGGCTTTTACCCTAAAGGTCGATTAACGTGGTATGAATATGGATGGTTGCCTCTTGGGCATATATCCATCAGCGTGCTCGGCACCGCGTATAAGGGCTGTTTGAGCATTTCATTTAGAATATTTAAGATGTATAAAGATTCTGCTGTCAGTTAATATGACACTGTCTACATAGTATACAGTAATAATGTTTAGGGGGGAGGGGAGACGTTTAATTTGGGTCTTACCAACAGCAAACATGTCTGTGGCCGACCTAACTATAACATGTCAATTTTAAGAACTAAGAATATATAAGCGTGCTCTTTGTTAATGTAACAATTTCGTTCGAAACCCCACTATCATCTTATTGTGAATTTACACTTCCATAAAATCATGCTTTAGGCCTAATACAACATTTACGTATGATCTGGTCCTGTACTTTGCTGTTCTGATGTTCTACTAAGAGCACACGAGATGGAGCAGGAGTTGGGGTTGTCGTCGCTGAACATCGACGGGTACGATGAGTACTGGGTGTGGTAGAACGCAGCATTGTCATCCCAGCAGCCGCAGTCACAGGCGCAGCCATGATTTCGGCAGTAGCTATGATAGCTCCTGTAACCGTACCCGTACCCGTACTCATACGACGGCGGCGGCACCATCTCGTGCTTGTGCTCGTGCACGGCTGCAGTCACCGTGCAGACTGGAACGCCAATCGTAGTCGCTGTGGTGTTGTCATGGTCCATCATCTTGTCAGGGACGCTCACGTCGGCAGAGCCCTGCTTCTTCTTGCTCTTGTTCTCATCATCCTTTTCGCTGCTGTCTCCCGTGCTGGCTGCAACGGTCACGGTGTGCTGCTGACGAACGAGGAGTGTCTCGAGGCGAGCAATGCGAAGAGAGTTGGCGACGGCGAGGTCGAGAATGCACCGGTCGCTCTCGGCTTCCACCCCGTCGAGCGGGTCCGCCATCCGCCCGCCGGCGACGACGACGACGATGACGCTGCGAAGGAAGCGGCTGCAGCTGCGTTGGCACCGGCGCACCACCTGCAGCGCGCGGCCGAGCGCCTCCTCCAGCCTGTCCAGCAGCAGCCTCCGCGTCGCCGCTGCGTCCGCCGCCGCCGCCGCCGCCGTCGTCGTCCCGTCCTGCGCCGCCTTTAAGATGTCCTTGAGGCAACGGACACGCTCGGCGACCTTCTTGCAACGGTCTTGTTCTGGCTCGCCGTCTCCACAGCTGCGAAGATGTCCTGCGCGATCCCCATGATGGTGCGCACGCTGGCCAGCGACTCCATCGCGTAGAAGGCCTAGTAATCCCATCATGTTATGCTCTCTCTCTCTCTCTCTCTCTCTCTCTCTCTCTCTCTCTCTCTCTCTCTCTCTCTCTCTCTCTCTATATATATATATATATATATATATATATATATATATATATATATATATATATATATATATATATATATATATATATATATAAAAGTCTGATCAAATTGCTTTACTTGCACGAAATAGTAGAGCAGAGTACTGAGTACGGACCGCGTGAACCAAAATACGAGTACCTCGTAACAACGTGCATGTGCTTCGTCGTTTCCCTGCATCATACATGTAGGCTATGATTGGCTGCACATCGATCCATCCTAATCCATGTGGTACGGAAGAGATTGATGTGAAATTTAGTTTAAATTTCATCTCAATCTTTTCCAAACTATATGAATTGGGATAGATTTGTATACAGTCAAACAAGCCTATAAACATGTCTGCACCTGCAAGCACGGCAGAGCGTAGACAGGTGGTCTTTTCTGGATATGTTTTTCAAAATTGATTTGTCTTTCGTAATTCCTGTTATCAAGGACAAGCCTAAATTATATTTAAGCTATAATTATATCTACCTGATGAAAAAGACAACACGTTCAAATGTAAGCAAGAAATAATAACAAAATGATATCACTACGCCAGATTTGCGCATCACTGTTGTATTTTTGAGAACCGGCGGTGGTGTACTTTCACTGCCGGTTATTAGCTTGAAAATGATAAAATGATCGGGGCTGGGCTAAAACCGGCAGCGAAGAACCACATCACTGCCGGTTTGTGGCTTGAACCGGCAGTGTTTTGGCGGGCACTTATCACTGCCGGTTCAAGCCACAAACCGGCAGTAATTTGGCTATATCACTGTCGGTTCTAGCCAAGAACCGACGGTAATAAGCCTACAGCACAAAAAGCTGCAGACGTCCTCTTCTTCCTCCTCTCTTCTATCCCGAGAACAGAGGCGCGCGTTTGGGCCCTTCCCTCCATTGTTGCGGCTGCTCTTCACCATGAAGTTAGCGCTTGGATTTTGAAGAATGGCTTGATCTTTTTGCTTTAAGGTTAGTAACAAACATCCACTCGTTTGATTTTGTTGCTTAATTAGCTTCGTTTTGATAGCTACATTGCTTGATTTTCATTCTAGTTATTTCTCCACTCTAGAGAGCACTTTTCCAATTGGACATTTGTGCAAGGCTCAAATTATGGTGAATCCATCATCCAAACGGTTGGTGTCTATGAACACATTTAAATTCCTAGCTAATTATTACATGGTGGTCAAGATCATCATTGTTAGTATGTGATGCTATAATTAGTTCTTAGAAGTAGAGTAGAATAGTTGTTCTTCAATATTCTGCAACAATTATTTTTACTACGATTTTCAATTTACAGGGCTGGGGCTACCAATTTCAAATTTTCAATAATTAGTGTACAATAATGTTTTCCAAAAATGGTACTTTCGAGCTACAATTGTTGTTCATAAAGCTCGATTTCTTATTAATTCTTTATAATTACCGTCTCATTATTTTTTTGTGCAGAGATTGATCGAGAGTGGATGCATCTGTCCCGAACAGACAAGCGGTACATGCATGGCGTCAGCCAGTTTATCACCAATGCCAAAGCCCATGCTAGGAATGGAAACCCTATCTTCTGCCATGCAAAGATTGCAAGAATCATATGAACTTTTATCAAATTGAGTCTATACGATCGCACTTGATTACCAGGGGGTTTATGCCAAACTATACGATATGGACTATGCATGGCGAGGTTGGTGTGAATGTTCTGCAGGAAAACGATGATGATGTGGACATGCCTGACGTAGCCATCCACGATGCTGACAAGGAACTCGGTGTCAACACGGAACCTATGGCCACAGTTAATAATGTGTTTAGGAACACGCTAGCTGACGACACCGAGGATAACGATGGCATTTCTCAGCTGCTACGTAATGTAGAGACCGGATGTCTTAGTGAAAGATAGCTGAGAAAGCTAGAGAAAATGAGACAAGATAGCAAAACACCATTGTATAGGAATTGTCCAATGAGCAAACTGAAAGCCGACATCATGCTGTTAGAGTTCAAATCGACAAACGGATTGAGCGATAAAGGCTTCGATCAGTTGTTAGGTATAATAAGGAAATTGCTCCTAGAAAAAAACGAGTTGCCAGAAAAGACATACTTGGGCAAGCAAATGATCTGCCCCGTCGGCCTTGAGGTTGAAAAAATCCACGCGTGTTTCAATGATTGCATATTGTACCATGAAGAAAAATACAAAGACTTGGACAAGTGCCCCAAGTGTGAAGCTCCACGGTACAAGCAAGGGCCGTTAGATGAGGGTACCAAGACCAGAGGAGGTCCCATAAAGATCGTTTGGTATTTTCCTATAGCTCCTCGGGTGCATAGGCTGTTTGCATGTGCAAAGTCAGCCAAGCTGTTGCGCTGGCATGGCGAAGAGCGTAAGAAAGATACAACGATGAGGCACCCCGCCGATGGGCATGACTGGAGGACTGTCAATACTATGTTCTATAAGAACATCGGTGGAGAGGTAAGGCACCTTTGGTTTGCTTTGAGCACAGATGTGATGAATCCTTTTGCCCAGGTTAGAAGCAATCATAGCTCCTGGCTAGTGACGCTCTGTATATACAACCTTCCACCTTAGGTCTGTATGAAGCGGTCGTACATCCAGATGCCACTACTAATCCAAGGGCCAAGACAGCCTGGAAATGACATCGATGTGTTTCTGGAACCAGTGATCGATGAACTAGTGGAGATGTTTGAAAAGGGTGTGTTAGATGTTTGGGACGAGTACAAAAAGAAACATGTCACGATCAAGGAAGTATTTATCGCTACAATCACCAACCTGCCAGGTCGAGGTTCGTTGTCCGAAGAGAAGACAAAAGGCTATACTGGATGTGTCGAGTGCTTGGACGACACCGATGCGGTAAATCTGCCAAATAACTCAAAGATATTTTATATGGGATACCGTAGGTTCCTACCTAAGGATCACCCTTACCGCAGGAACAGAAAAGATTTCAACGGTACTATTGAGAAACGCTTAGCTCCAAAATATCGAGACGGACCTTCGATACTTCGAGAACTCAACAAACTAGAGGTTGTCCTTAGGAAGAGGGACAATGCAGTAGCAGCGCTTGATAGGAGCGTTTGGAAGAAAAAATTAGTTTTCTGAAAACTACCTTACTGGCCATTTCTGAGTGTACGCCACTGTCTTGATCCCATGTACATCACTAAAAACGTGTGCGCTAACACTCTTAACACCTTGATGGACACCGGGGGGACATCGAAGGATTCACTAGCCACACGCCTGGACATGCAACACTTGGGAATCAGGAAGGAGCTGCATCCCGTGGAGCTAGAGAATGACCAGTTCGAACTTCCGGTTGCATCATGGACATTGAAGAAGGAAGAAAAGCGTGCGCTTATTTCTTTCTTCAATGAACTCAAAGTCCTGACGGGCTACTGTACGAACCCGAAGAGGCTAGTGAACATGAGAGAACTCAAGTTCAACTATGGCCCTATGAAGGTCCATGACTGTCATGTCATTATGACTCAGCTGCTCCCTGTTGCCCTGCGTGGTATCCTCCCCCCAAAGGTCCGCGCCCCAATCATAAAGCTTTGCTCGTTCTTCAACGCGATCTCAAAAATGGTCATTGATGTGTCCACGCTAGAAGAGAGTTCGATGTCGAGTGGGAGTGCTTGTTCCAGCTATATCAGAAACGCGATCTCGATGTTCAACTGTTGACGATGTGGACTATGTAAGTACCCTACACACACGATGTTACAATTAACTACTCTCTCGAGACACAAATTGTTAACTTTTGAGCACTTCCTATGATTTTATGTATGTGTATAGCAAAATTTTGCATTCTAAAAAGTAAATGGGATTACATAGGCTTCTTGGACCCCATGCGAGTCAATGAGAGGATATGTCTAGGCCTCTATGGATGTGATGTGGAAGACCTGAAACAGAGATTGATTGCTGTTTTCGACGATTTCACGATGAAGAAGAAAACCCACATACTTCTAGCCTACAACTACGAGTATGTGTTCTCGGCTTTTAATTTTATACTTCTTTTTTCGTTAAGATTATTCGATAATTAAGATTCTGTGATTGCAGCAACCATTTTGTCTTCATTTGTGTTAATCTTGCTAAAAATCTGCTCGAGGTGGGGGACCCGAAGAAAAAACCATTTCATCATCTGGATGCACTGGTGTCAATGCTGAATTAGTAAGCGATCCTAATAACATATTATTTTCTAATCACACATACCCGCTTTCTAATGTTTCTCCTTTTAATGTTGCTCAGTGTCCGAAAAAGTCATATCGGTGGGAAGCCGGTCCCATTCAAGGTTGTCGAAATGGAGGGGAAGTACCTATCACAGCCGGCGGGAAACAATGAATGTGGGTTTTATGTAATGTGGGCAATGCTTCGCTACATCGGCGGGAAATCGGAAGAAGCCGATAAGTTGATGTGTATAATCCCCATTTCATTTATGTTTGTTAATAATTCAACAAAATGATTTACTGTTCCTCTTTGGATATCATCTTTTTTGAACGACAGCGCAAAAAAATTAAGCACGAAAGGCCGCTAGAGATGGAGATCATCGCACTACAATCGGAGCTGGCAAAATTCATCTTAGCCGAGGTATTGAAAAAAGATGGACTATTTTCCATTGCACAATCCGTGAAGTACAAGGACCAGTATGGCCCAAAGCGGCTCGTCAGATTATTATAAGAAGTCCGAGAATATTTTTTTTTTATTTTGAGGGATCGAGATCTGGATAAGAACATTTGAATTGTAACCGTAACATTTGTAATGTTTAATATTGATGGACCTGTCGTCTACGTAGCGTATATAAAGCGAAATACAATCCCACGAAAAAATATAAATTAAAATAAATTATAAAACAATAAAATACGAACGGGCCATCACCGTCGGTTAGCAACAAACCGACAGTGTTGTCGTAACCATCACTGCCGGTTAGAAACAAACCGACAGTGTTG